TACAGTGTCCTGAGCCTCAGAAATGAATTAAGTACTCTCCTTAGGCCCCAGGGCTTCATTCCATTCTCTACCCTGGTGCTCTGCAGGGTACATGGGAATGTTCTTGTGGCTGATTGATCTAGCCTTGGATAAAGGCCTGATTCACATGCTCCTTTCTAATGGGAGCCCTGATGTCTTGTGTTTCACCTAGTATATCTGAATTCCCAGCCGTAGATCACTGCATGCCAGGGCTCTCCCCAAATTCCTCCTGTCATCTGCACTGTTCCTCAATACTTATTCCAGACTTCCCCCCCAGGAGCCCACTGAGAACTGTCTTCAGTTAACAGCAATATAGCTTCAGAGAAGCAGGGTCTCGATTAGGGGTTGTGGGCAATTCAGCATCAAAGGAAATTTCTGGGGAATCAAAGTGATCCTCTCTCAATGCCAGGTATATTGGTGCCCTGACCGTGTCCACACTCCCTGCTGTGAGTTCAATAGTATTGGCCTTGATGGCATCTAGTGACAAGTCCCCTTGGAAGATCAGGTCAGCCACAATGCCACTGTAGTCCTGAGGGAAGCTGCGTGCAAGTTCCTGATGCACCTTCTGGATGCAGTTGTTGGCTGTGGGGAGAGGAGAGGCCTCAGGCCTTAATGCTGGGAAGGTCGGCTTCACTATCAATCCACCCACCAACCCAGCGCCTCCTCTCCCTGCTCCTCAGTGTTGTCTTAAGCCTGGCCACACCACCAACTCTGCAAGGACCCCGAGGAAGGCGTGGCCCTTTTGTGTGGACTCCGTGTGGCTCTGGGTGGTGGTAAGAGGAAACCTGGATGACTGTCCTGCCCCGACCCACAGCCCTGCCTGGTCCAGCCCTTACCATACTCAGAGATGTAGTCCCAGGCCTGAAAGTGTTCCTGCCACACCTGGGAGCTCATCCAGCGGGACAGGCTCTTGGGCAGGAACATGAGCTGAGCAGTGGACTGGAACATGGCCTCCAGCGCATGAATGAACTTCAGGCTGCCAGCGTTCTGGTGTGGGCCAAAGAGGCCCAGCCGCTCTCCAAAAAGAGCAAAGTTGCTGGCTGCAGAGAGGATGGCAGCCCTGAACAAGGGCAGGCCTGGGCCTCAGCTGCGTCCTGCAGTACTCCACCCACCCTGGCCACCTCAGAACCCTCGAGGCCAAAGCTCCCCCAGCCCCACACCTTCGATGGTATAGTGGAAGATGCTGGTCTGGGCATCCAGGGTCAGGCTGCCCCGGGAATTCTGCAGCACCTTCTTCTTCAGGGCCTCGGAGAAGTCTCTTGCCACCTCGTCCACCATGGGGATGAACTTCTGCACGGCCTTTCCTGACAACACGACTGGATTCAGCCGCAGCCGGTTGAATCTCCATTCAGCTCCATTCCTGTAGGGCAGGCAAGGGCTTGAGAGGCATCCCCAAGCATCCCACAGGTCCCCAACCTGTCTGCCATCTTCCTGGAACCCAAAGGGACTCGGTGGTTCCAAGAATGAAGGTGGGCCGGGGGCGAGGCAGCTGCATGTCCTGGCCTCACCTTATTCTCTCAGAGTGACCTTCCTGTGCTGGGCGATGGCCATGGAAGTCTGAAATGGGGATGAGGGCAGGTAGCCCTGGAGTGCTGGGAGGCCTGTGGGTAATTCCTGGGAGCTGCCAGGCACACCCTGCGTCCACGTGGGCCCTGCCTGGGTGGCCAGGCTTTCTGCCAGGGTGGGGGGTGACCTGAGGTCAAGTTTGCCTGCCTGGCCCACACCATGCCTCAGGTGGGAGAGGCCAGGCTGACTCCTGTCCTCCATGTCCTTCCCCATGGAGCTTGGAGAGTGGCACCTGCTTGCTCCCTGAAGTGKCCTTGTCTTCTGTAGTGCAGAGTCCAAACTGAATCTCCCACCACATCCACCCACCACATCCCAAGCACATGGGGCCCCGGGAGCTTCTGGTGCCAGTGGTGGCAGGGCTTTGCAGCCTGAGCCACAATCAGGCACACACGCCTTTCTCTTCCTAGGGCAGTGCCTCCCATTCCTGATGATGAGAAACATGGGTACATGCCACGCCAACGCCTGTGCCCACACAGACCTCAAACACATGTGTGAAGACACTCATGTCCAAGAGTATGCACAGTGCTGCATAGAACCCTAATGTGCACGTGCATGCACACACACACACACACACACACACACACACAAGTTCACCACTTCCTTCAGGGGCACTGGCTCTCCTTTCCCCCAGACCCGCCCTTCACATCTGGCCTCTGCATCAGATGCCCTCCACGGAGGGCCCGGCCCAGGAGACTCACGTGCATATGCCCTGCTCTTCCCCAGAAAATCCACTTCCTGACACGGAGTGTGGGACTCTTCAGCCTGTGGTTCTTCTCAGCACTTCCTGCTCTTTATGGCAACCTCTTTGCAGCTGACCCACCCTGAGCACCATCTTCTCCCCGCTTCCCTGGGCCCAGTAAGGAGCCACCCCCTTGCTGCTGACCCACCTGGAAGCTCAGGGCCTTGCTGCTGAGCTAGAAGCTGCCTTGGACCTCCACCATGCACATCCCCAACCTCCTCCCCGTCACTGTCTCCCCAAAGTGAAGGCTGACTTGACCCAGGATGCAAGGGCCCCTTGGGTGGTGGGACAGCCCTGGTGGACTTCAGATTCTGGCCCATGCTGCCCACGGCTTTGGTCCTGGGATTTCACATCTCTGGGCTGGTTTTCTGACCCACAGGAAGGAGAGCCACCCAGCAGCAGGAGGGGACAKGGACCAAGGCCTAGGGCCGAGGGTGCTCCCTTCAGGGAGGGGCTCAGTGTTCCTTGTCTAGCCTGTGCAGACCCCATGTGCCTTTCTCCCCCACTGCCTGCTCCCCCGCCCAGGACATCCATCACAGGAACCCATCCATGCTTACTACTGACACTGTCCACCCACCCGCAGAGCCCAGGACATGTGTCCTGTGGTCTGCTGGTCTGGCCTCCTCTCCAGGCTGCCCAGTGTCAATTCCACTTCCCAACCCAACCCATTGGTGCCTCACAGCAAGAATACGCCCAGGGGCTTCTGTCCACGGTGCTCTCTGTAGACCATCCAGGGCTCCAGGGGCTGCCGCCAGGGCTGCAGGCTCTCCATCTGATGCAGCTTCTCAGCATCTTCAGGCAGCATCACAGATACTATCTGTGTTCTTCCCACTTCATACCTTGGAACGTGCACAAAGCCCTGCTGGATCCCACGTCCTTTCCTGATGCCCCTCTGGAGACCAGTCAGACCTCACCCTTCTCCTGGACTTGAGCCTGCCCCACAGGAAGTCCCCGAGCCTCTTGCCTGAGCCCTCTTCCCCTCTCAGCTTCCTCTGAGGCAAGCTTTCCTTGTGCACAGGAGGAGTCCTTGTCTCCACTGGCAAAGTCTCGGGACGGTAACCCACATGCCCCCTCGTGCCTTGTGGAGGACGAAGACCACCCATGTTCCTAGGGAGCAGGAGCACCGGGTGCCTGGCGAGTGCCTGGCAGCCAGCAGAGAAGGAGGTGYTGGGCATCCTCAGTGAGGGGCTTGGCAGRGCTTTACCTGAAAATGGGTCCCAGCTCCTGGAAAGCCCGGTGCATCTGCAGGTGCAAGTTCTCCTGGCCCCGCTCCTTCCAGATCTGTAGCACCCTCAGCCACTTGTTGCCTGCACACTGGGGTATGGCTTCRAAGGGCAGCACTGCCTTGGCACCCAGAGCTGCACTGGTGCCCAGGGCTCTCACCTTGCACAGGCCCAGCCAGGACCCTGCCAGCCACACACCTTCCTTTGACCTGAAAGCCATTGTGATGCTCCCTCCACCCCCGTTCAGCCCAGTCCAGTCCTTTTTATCTCACCCAGGGGCCCTCTGTGGCCAAGGATCACGTCATGGAAAAATTGTTCCTGGACCTGCCTGAGAGATCTGGGGCACTCATAGCCGGGTCCCCAACCAAAGTTGGAGGCAGGAGATGGCCTGGTGCCTRGTCCCCATCTCTGCAAGGCTCATTGCAGGTGGAAGCTGACCCTGGTGCAGGGTCGCATGGGGGGCTGGAGCCGTGCACAGTGTTGAGCTCTCTGGATCCTCCTCTGCAGGGGTGAGGAGACAGAGGGACAGGATGCTTATCTTATCAAGAGCCTTGATTATTCATCAGTCCTGGAAGACATGTTGCTAGAGAAGGGGTTGTTTGTTCAGTCATCACATTAACCCTCATGTGTTAATCTTTCAAAGTCTTTTTTATATTGACAGATTAATTCTGTCTATGTGTATTATACAACATGATGCATAGGCACACATTGTGTCATGGCCAGCCTGTGCTGAAGAGCCTTTGCTTTATTCCCATATCAGTTTTTGCATGAGAAAATAAGACCTCTGAGCTCTTTTCTCACCTAGGACATCTGGGTGTAAGAAGAACCTGGGAACCTAGAAACACCTGGATCGATCGATCCCCAGCAGCCAAAAAAAGGAGAGAAAACACCTTGAGACAAGACAGTAATCACACATAACCAGAACTCACCAGAAGCACCCGGAGCACAGCTCTGAGGGGAGTCTCAGCTCTCACTGCCCATACAGCAAAGGAAAGGAGCTCAGCTCCAGAGTCTGATTCTGGCCTGAAGGAAAGAGAACGGGACACGAGAGCAGGAGCAGCTTTGTGCTGTCAGCTCCTTGGCAAACCAAAGGCTGCCGGGCTTTTGATTAACCTCAGCTGGCGATTTCGGGGAGGGGGACATGGACAGAGGATGAGGCAAATGGCCAGAACAGGAATGGAAGTGGACATGCTGGTGCCCCCTGCAGGAACGGCGGAACGCAGCTGTGCAGTTGGGAGCAACACACACCAAGCACCCAGACGCAGCAGGGGACGTCCACAAAGTCCTAGACACTCATACAAGGTACAGTAAGAAAGAGGATCAATGACAAGTGCAGAGGGAGTCCGCTGCTGGTTGTGTGGCCAGGTCCATCCATGTGCTGTCCGGCTCAGGGCCACATGGCCTCTGCCTGGGGAAAGTGCCCTCATGTATGCAGTTTAAGAAACCCTTCCCAAAAAGAGAAGCAGAAGGAACACTGCCTACGTCTTCCCGGTGACTCCGAAGCACCCGATGCCACACTCAGAGAGTCACAGCAAGAGGAAATCCCAGCACAACATCCTTCTTGCGGGTTGCAACGCTCCTCACCAGCGCTACAGGGAACAAAGCCAAATGCTGGCAACATTAAAATGTCAGTGCCTCATGGAATATCACTCAGCCTTAAATGAAACTCTGGCTTTTCTTGGTAAATGGATGGAGTTGGAGAATATCATGCTAAGTGAAATAAGCCAATCCCCCCAAAAAACAGAGGCCAGGGGTTTTCTCTAATATGTGGATGCTAATTTACAATAGGGGGTGGGCACTAGGGAGGAATAGCATTAGATTAGGTAGAGGGGAGTGAAGGGAGGGTAGGGGTGAGGATATGGGAACAGGAAGGGTAGTAGAATGAAACAGACATTATTACTTCATGTATATATAACTGCATGACTAATATGATTCTACAACATGCACACTCAGAAAAATGAGAAGTTATACCCCATCTATGTATGATATATCAAAGTGCATAAATTCATTCTGCTGTCATGTATAACTGGTTAAAACAAATTAAAATAGTTCTTTTAAGAAGTCAGTGCCATGTGGTTGGGTGTTGTTAGTGCCCAGCGTCAGCACAGTTTGATATGGAAACCAGCCACTGGAATGACAGCGCTGTGTAGCCAAGGGCAGGAAGCCATGGGTCGTCCCCAGCTCCTAGAATGATCACGGACACCACTTCTTTTGTCGTTTCATATTTTTTTAGTTGTAGGTAGACAGAATACCTTTAATTAATTAATTAATTAATTTACTTATTTTTATGTAGTGCTGAGGCTTGACCCAGTGCCTCACCCCACTAGGGGGCACTCTACTGCCCCACCCCAGCCCTGGGGCACCACTTCTTGAGAGTTGCTTGGGAAGGTGATATGCAGAGTGTACCCTCAGTGGTGGAGGCTGCAGGGGGCCCCCAGCTCAGGAAGAGGCAGAGGAGGCCTGTGTCCCCACTACTGCCCATGCTGGACTGGAAGTTCTGGCCAGAGCAGTTGCCAAGGAAGAAGTGAGATCCTCTGTGTTCACAGACATCGGGGTCTTGCTCCCACGGACCCCACCCCCTGCACAGAAACCCCACGGGGCCAATGCGTTCATCTATCTGCGCTGTCAGGCAGGACACCCAACAAGCAGCTGTGTGGCCACCTGCAGCAGCGAACCACCCAAATTGGGAGAGGGACACAGTGCTATCCAAAGGGAGAGCCCCCCCAAGAAGTGGTCCCCAAGGAGGTGAGAGGCTTGTAYGCCAAGAACCACGAAACACTACTGAGATCCCAGTAAACAGATGGACAGGCAGATGCGCGTCTTGGTCCCTTTGTGCTGCCATGACCAATTACCCCACGTCCCAACGAGAAAGGTCAGACATCTATTCCTCAGGGTCCTGGAGGCCATGAAACCCAGGGTCACGTCACTGCTGGTCAGCCCAGTTCTCTGCTTCCAAGGATCACATCATTTCTGCAGCCTGCAGACAAGACGGACAAACTCTCTGGTGCCAGAAGGACTGGCAGGGAGCACGGCTGGAGGGTCTGATGCTGAGTGATCCCTCTTCCACCAGGTCTCAGCCCCTTTTTAGGCCTCCACCTTCAGACTCAGTGCCTTGCCCAGAAGCCCCACCTCTGCAAAGCAATCCGAGGGGAAGAAGTTTCAGCACCTGAGTCTTGAGAGGCTGCAGACCTGCCACACCCCCTGCCGTGCATCCTGAGATCTGAGTCAGTGCTCACAGCATTCCAGACACTCAGCACCGGGCCTGTCTCCAGTCAGGCTCCCTCTTCATCAAGGGCAATGCTGATCTTCAAATTGTGTTTATTTCAGTTTATGTTTTGGAGAATTGCATGATCTGGGATCGGACCCTGGATCTCACACCTCTGGGTACAAGCCTCACTACTGAGCTACCTCCCCAGCCCCAGAGGGGCCAATTTTTTGCTAAATTTCAAACTCACTCCTTCCACTTCCAGTATAGAAGTGTCTGACATCTGGGACAACATTTCTATTTTGGTTTGTGTTATTATTTATTAAAAGGTATGAATTGTCCCAGCAGCTCAAGAGGCTGAGGCAGGAGGATCACAAGTTCAAAGCCAGCCTCAGCAAAAGTGAGGCGCTAAGCAACTCAGTGAGACCCTTTCTCTAAATAAAATTCAAAATAGGGCTGGGTATGTGGCTCAGTGGTCAACTACCTCTGAGTTCAATCCCCAGTAGCCCCCACCCAAAAAAGGGTATGAATTGAACCCCAAACAGTGTTTGGCATGATACACAACACATGTGTCGCGTTCACCAATCCAAGCCAACTCTTCAGTGTCTGTGCCCTCCCACCCACCCTCCCAACTTGTAGGACCACTGCTGGGCATTCAGGCCAGCCTTCCTAGCTCTATGTATGAGAGAACATATGTACTTCTTTTCCTGGTCTGGTTCATCTCCTTTAAGACAACATCCTGCGCTTCCGTCCTTCTTGCTAAAGATGATTCACATATAAACCACCTTTTCTTTATGCAGGTGTGCACTGGTGGAAACTCAGGTTGATTCCACGTCCTGGGTTGTGAGTTGTGCCACAGTAGACTTGGGCATGCAGGTGTCTCTGGTTCCTCAGACGTGGGATGGCAGGGAACAGCCACGCTCCAAACACCCGACTCTCCCTGTGCTGACCCCCCAGGAAGCGTCCCTTCATTTGATGTCTGTCTTTGGGATCATTTCCATTGATGTGAGCAGTCCTGTGTGTGTGTTTGGAGTGTGTGCATGCACACACACACAACTATTTCAGTTAAATGTAAGTTAAAATGTAAATGTAAGTTAAAATTCCATATGTAGAGGAGAGTTTCACTGCACATCTCTGAGTGTCTATATCCATATGAAATTCTCATTTCCACGGAGAGTGGGGTCAAGGAGCATGGCGTGTGATGTGTCTGTTGGGACAGGGCCAGAACAAAGGAGCATGGAGAGGGTCTTCTGAGGAGTGGACAGGGAGGGGCTAAGGAAAGGAGGAAATCACAGAGACCATAAAAGAACAGGCCCAAACTCTCCCCCCAGACTCCCAGCCCTGGGCCCTTCTCTTCCTACAAGTCCATCTCTGTCACTTTGCAGTAGACTGCTGCTTGCTTGCCATTTCTGTGTCCTCTTCTTCAGATCTCGGTTGAACGGAGACAGTGAACCCAGCGCCCTAGGTGGGAGCAACATGACTTCAGAGCCAAACTTGGCCGGAACGATGCAGGCTGAGTCCAAGGTTCGTCCTTGGGGTGGTGGCGCAATCAGCCCCGGCTGGTTGGACATCCTGCACAGGGCCTGCCTGCCCACCCTTCCCTGTCGTTCCCCTCCCTCAGTGGTTCCCAGGTGGCTCCAGGGCTTCTGGGTCTGTGGCTGTGTGCATGTCTGGACACACCTTCTCGGCCCACCACGAAGAGCCCGGGAAGCCGACTGTTGGGGGCCAGGTGTTAGGGATGGCAGCCAAGGGGTCAACGTCACAGGGAAGCCTGAGGGTGCCGTGGGCTGGTGGAGCCCTTGCCTCTGGCATGCAGGCTGGGGAGTGGCACTGCTTTTCAGGTGTGTTCACGGTATTCTGGCGCTGGGACCTCTGGGACCTTGCCGGCCTGGGGGCTGGCCTTGTGTGTGTGAACCATCTAATGCGAAGCACCCACCACTCCTGCGTGGGATTCTCACCCTCTGGACCACTGAGCATGGCCACAAAACTCACCCCCGACGCTGCGCCCAGAGCGG